CTTGAGCCCAGGAGTTGGAGGTTGATGTGAGCTGTGATGCCACGGCACTCTACCCAGGGGGACAGCTTGAGGCTCTGTCTCAAAAAAAAAAGACAAAAGCAATTAACCCAGCAGAGTCATTTGATTTATGACATGCCCTCAGCCATAACACATCCCCAAGGTATTCTTCTGGAGGAGGTAGCATTATGATAGAGGGTCCACCAAAGAAAATGTCTGAAGCTCTAACACCTTGTTTGGCAGGAGTCAGTGATTCCCCCTTTCCTCCATAATAAACTTAAACTTTTGTTTGTGCTTAATGAGTCATCCTATAGTAGGTCTAGTAGAATTTGTGATAAAGTTTATCCTGATAGTGTTGCTCACTATGAGCAGCTTTTGAGTAAATTGGGCTCCTTCCCAATATTTAAACTAAGGTGATCATAATGCTGAACTTTCCATGCTATTAAGAGATAGTGGAATGGGTTTTGGTAAAGTTGTTTTGAAGAACTAATGATACTTTTTCTTGTGTCAGAGGTTGCAATCAAAAGTTTTAAAATTAGTTGATATATCCTATGGTGGTGAAAATGGATTCAACCAAGCTATTGAGTTATCCACTGAAGTCCTCTCCAACGTGAAATTTATTCAAGAGAAGAAATTAATAGGTATAAACGAAATACAGCTACAATTATTTTTAATCTTTCTTATTTGTTAAGTCTAATAAGTATGTATGTACCAGGGAGACTTTAATGTCACATTGACCTGTCCTTAATCACAGGGCGATACTTTGATGAAATCAGCCAGGACACTGGCAAGTACTGCTTTGGCGTTGAAGATACACTAAAGGCTTTGGAAATGGGAGCTGTAGAGATTCTAATAGTCTATGAAAATCTGGATATAATGAGATACGTTCTTCATTGCCAAGGCACAGAAGGTAAGAGAATTACAAAATAAGGTTGCTGGCTTAGCGCCTGTAGCTCAGCAGCCAGAGTGCCAGCCACATACACCAGAGCTAGTGGGTTCGAACCCAGCCCTGTCCTGCCAAACAACAATGACAAGTACAAGAAAAAAAAATCCGGGCTTTGTGGCAGGCATCTGTAGTCCCAGCTACTTGTGAGGCTGAGGCAAGAGAATCACTTAAGCCCAAGAGATTGAGGTTGCTGTGAGCTGTGACATCACGGCACTCTACCCAGGGCGACATGATGAGACTCTGTCTCAAAAAAAAAAAAAAACAACAAGAAGATAGGTTGCTAATTTGTGACTGACCTGTGTATTCAAGAAGCCTCAGTTGAAGATTAGGAAGGAGTGGCTGATTTGGGGACGGTCAGAAGGAAGATCTACCCCTTTTGTTCAGTCTGTAGCACATACCTGCATAGATTTTTCTGCTTAAACTATTTAATGTCTGCTTAAGATTGTAAAATTTGCTGAGGACCAAAACTATATCTTAGATTTCTTTGATGTTTCGTTATGGTTGGAGAGTGTATTTCTCGTAGATATACAGTGCATACCAACATGATAATGGAAAAGTTGATAGAAGCCCTTTCTTCATCTAACCTAACCCCATCTTATGGGACTTACACCATTAAAATGTCAGAACCAGCTTAACACGTATTTTCCTCCTAATGTTACAGAGGAGAAAATTCTCTATCTAACTCCAGAACAAGAAAAGGATAAATCTCATTTCACAGACAAAGAGGTATGTGATTGTTTTCTTGGTTTGATATGTGTGAGGGATCCATGTGTCAGAGGCTGGCAGTGTGGAGGTAGTCAGCTCCTGTCTGCCAAATACAAATCTGATTCCAGGGAAGGAGGCCGTGTCATGGTTACTGTGGCCTTGTATTTTTTAAGTAGTTAAGCAGTGAGAAAGAAATTCTCATTACCTTTGCAATTATAACTAAAGAGGAAAATTTAATCGAATAATACCACTCCTCCACTGTGAAGCCTGTGCTGCTTTCATTTACTATGTGTGTATATCAGCTCTCTTCCAATGCAGTGGCTTCTCTGGGTTTGTTGTAAATGTGTCATGTCACCACAGTTGAAAGTATCACCTCCATGACTTTACCTGAAGGCTTCCTCAAATTCTGAGTTGAAGAGCTTTATTCTTTACAAGGCCACTCCCAAAAGCAATTCTGAGCTGTTGAATGAGTGCTGCTGAGAGATAGTGTAACAGCCTGACTTCTGGAATCAACAACAGGAATCATAAGCTGAAAAACCACAGGCTTTGTTGACATCCTATTTCTGAGGGAAGAGCCTGAGAAGTGTTTGAAATAATCACAATTTCTCTGCTACGTCTATTCTGTTACCAAAAGTGAAAATTCACATCCCTTTACACATGGATACATGTATGCATATAGATAGGTAGCACAGTATGAGTGGACAATGAAAATGATGATGGGCAGGGAGAGTGAGGGGCTAAGGCTTTGATTTGATTCGTCCTGATCCCCTTGTTTTATTTGTTTTTGTATCTAATGGTGGTCACCTCTGTAGACAGGACAGGAACATGAGCTTATTGAGAGCATGCCCCTGTTGGAATGGTTTGCTAACAACTATAAAAAATTTGGAGCTACATTGGAAATTGTCACAGATAAGTCACAAGAAGGATCGCAGTTTGTGAAAGGATTTGGTGGAATTGGAGGTGAGTAGCAAATCAAACTTAAGATCTAGGTCTCAGGCCAAGGCCTTTCCTACCTAGCTTTATTTCAAATGAGATGTGCTCAGTATGTGCTGAGATAGGTCATTAGGGCAGCAGGTGGCTATAAGTTCCTTGATTTGAAACAGTTTTTATCATTAACTCTTTGCTTTTTGTAATTATGCAAGAAAATTGGGCTTCCCTTCTTTTATTAGAATGACCACCTTCTACCTGTCTTCCATGAACACAGATAATTTGCCCTTTGGTTTGTTTCCCCAGGTATCTTGCGGTACCGAGTAGATTTCCAGGGAATGGAATACCAAGGAGGAGACGATGAATTTTTTGACCTTGATGACTACTAGGTAGTCGACATGGGTCCGGCAAAACGTGCCTCACCCTCCAGCATCCAACCCAAGGAGCATACCCGTGGTGGAATCCAAACAGATCCCTGCCTTACAATTGGAACATTTCCAGAACTTAATCCATGAGCATTGGATATTGAAAAGAAAACCGAAACAAAACCAGACCCAGCCCTACACATTGGTTTGTCATGGTGTCAGCGCAGCAGCCTACAACTAAGTTCCTAAATGCCACTTTGGACTAATTTAAAAAAGAATCCCAGTTTTTACTTTTACTCAATGGTGAAATTGGTTGCTCTTGTATTTTATGAAAAAAATGATTTTTTTAACCTTCATACATAGAAGCAAAAATACTTTAACTGCTGTAAACCTCCAAAAGTTAATAGAAGTAAGATCATACTGGTTTGTTTCTTATTTTGATTGGAAAAGAATTAAATTGCTGCATTTCGCAGTGACCCATTTACATGGCATTCTCAGCTTAGACTGCATAAGAAGAAATATATGTGGTGAAATGTTGGAACCATTTCTCTCTTGGTCTCTGTTTAATGTTGAAAGGGTGAGCTAATAGGAGGCAATTTCAACTTTACTCCCTCATACTACCCCTCCCCCTCCAGACTGGCAGTTTCAAGGATGCAAATTACATTGCAAAATCAAACTGACTCATGAAGCATTTGGGCCAGTGCACTGTTTACTTCTATCTGTTTGGCAGACGCATTTGTGCCCAGTGTGTGGGAACCCTTTGTATCACTTGTTTTGACAAGGGTACTCACAATCTTAGCCTACTAGAAACCAGTTTGGGATGGATATTATGGGGCATCTGTGCTATTGCTGGGATTGGAAGAAATAAAACATGAAATTTAAGTGGAAGCAAAGAAATTTAAAGATATTTTATTTTGCTTGGGTGGGTCTATCCTTGGTAAAAGGGAGGTGGATGTGTTTTCCTTGTGTTGGATGGCATGAGATTATGTGAATGTTTTGATTTGTTAAAATGAACTGCAAGGTTTTTCACAGGAACGATGAACAAGACATGTATGACTGCATGTAATTATAAACTCCTGGCCTCCTGGTGGGGTTGGAGCATCTGTTTCTAATGGGCTTACAAGCACCTCTCACATGAGAAATTAAGGGAGATGGGTGGGAAGGGATGGGACACAGCTTCTGGCACCATGGACTTAAGACCATGTTGGATCCATAGTTGGTCTGAAAGCCTGAAGCTTACGCTTCATAGCTGGGCTGTAAGTCAGACTTAACCCAGCTGACATGCAAGGTCATGGGGTGCCTGAGGTGGTGACGGTGAACTAAGTGTATAGTACGTGCCCAGTGGTAGCAATGGAAAAAAGTATACCAAATGGACTTTGAAGGACCAAAGGTTTTTAAAGTCAATTGGTATCACCCCCACACTGACTAGGATCGTGGGGCACATTTGGTTTTCAAATTGGGTACTTTTAACACTTTAGTGCCTGACTGCTGTTCTTTACTGACTTGACTCAGTCACTTGTAGCTTTATTGGTCTGAACCAGCTCCTTGTTTCCAGGTTACAGACCTGCCTATCGTTCCAATAATCCTGTTTCACTTGAATGAAGGGAGTATGTCTTAAATGTAAAGCTTCTGGTTCTCACACTGTATACTCTGAGGTCCAAATGACTGTCTGTCAACGTGTAACCTGATGTCTCAACCCCCAGTGAGAAGAGTCGATTCTTGGTGTTCACCAACGTGGGAGGCTTCACCGGAACAGGCTTTTTTTTCTTCTTTTTTTTTTTCTTTTCTTTTCTTTCTTTTTTTTGCTTTGGGCTCTGCTGTTTGTTTGCAGAACACCCAAGAGAGAGCACACACGCTCTCTTCACAGCAGTACCTTAGGGTTTTGCCATTGTAAATGGGTCTGATGTGATATGACAAGACCAGAGAAATTGGATGTAAATTTACATTTTTGAATATGCTTGTTGTTTCACATGATACATTTAGGGTATGCAGCTCCTTTTGTAGTTTTTATTTTTACTATTTAAGTTTGGAAATGATGCCAAATTTTTGTATTCTTTAATCAATGTGTTCTCTTGGGTGATATATATTGCATTATATATTGATGTGTGTATCAATATATACTGATATGTATTACACTTACACATACAAACACATAAATAAGAGGGGGTGAAAACCGTAGCCTTTGCATTCTTTATAGCCTCTGCAGAGAGATCCTAAGCAGCAAAATCTTGGTGTTGTGATGTACAGAAATGGAGAAGAGTATTAAACCATATTTAAGAATATACTTTGTGTGCTTGAGATTTTTTAGGATTGTTTAGAAAAGTCTGGACTAGAGGCAGTGTGAGTTCTCCAAGGCATATGTCAGATTAGTTGTGGCTAATAAGTTTTCAGTCTTAGATTTGAATTGTTTTCACTGTTTGCCTGTGGAAGGGTATATTGCAAAGCTTGTCTGATATGATTCCAAAGTTATGCTAGAGAAAGGAGGTTCATGTTACTGGAGGCAAACTAATTTATATCTTCTTCTATGTGCATGCCAAAGAGTATCTTGCTTCTTTTTAAGTGTATTTCAAGTATGTTCCCCTGTAACTGTTAATATCCAATATAGGTAAATAGTGCACTCCATTTTTCAGGTGATGAAACAGGCCAAAAGCAGCTTCTTAGTACTCCCAAAATTTTATCCAAGATTTAATTCTAAAATTCTGTCTTTATACATCTGGTTGCCTTTCAGTCCTATAATAAGTAGAGGGGTCCAAATGGAAGAACAGAAAGTAAACACTTTCATTTTCATACCTTGCTCTAGATAGGAAAGTAATCTCCCCAACTAAGACCAGGTCAGGGTTTGGCCCAGTGGAGCCAGTGATGTAGAACAGAAGAAGATTTGTTTGATTTGCTGTCCGAAGGTTGAGGTACTCAGAGCCTCTTCTGGCTGATAGTTTAGGCAGCCTAGCATGTACTTTGCTTTCTACAGATGTGAGGAAACTTAAGGCTGTAAGTAAAATTGCCTGGTAATCAGTTTGCTTTTTCAGCGTAATTTTCACCCATTTTCTCATCTGCTCTAGATGGTAACTCTGATGAAATCCAGCTACCCTTTGGGGAGTAGACATGTCTGTGCAGGCGGAGTGGTAATTTTCCCTTTTAGTGCATCCCTAGGCTCTATTCTTAAAGTTGCAATTGGAAGGCGGCAGTACAGTGGTGCGGGATGTGTGCACTGTAGTGGTTGCCTGTCTGGGCCTGCAGCAGCACTTGCCATCTTTTGTTCTCTGGCTCTGGTTCCCATGCCAGGACACTCCCAGACAGGCATAGTGGATTCAGGGCTGAGTGCCAAAGTGGAATTTAAGCCTGGGGCCAGCTTCTCCCTCATTGCCAGTTTGAGTGAGAGCCCGTTGGGAAGTCCCACCCTCATGGGACTGGGTCTCAGAGGAAAGAAACCAACCAACTAAAGGATAATGGAAGCATCACATTAGAGCCAGGCAGGAAGGACACACTTATTTGCTCATTTTGTAGAATTTCTAGGTGCCACGATTTGCTGAGGATGGGGCGGTGCCTGTGGCTCAGTGACTACTAGGGCGTCATCCCCACATACCATGAATGGCAAGTTTGAACCTAGCTCCAGCCAAACTGCAACAAAAAATAGCCGGGCATTGTGGTAGGCACCTGTAGTCCCAGCTACTCAGGAGGCTGAGGCAAGAGAATCGCCTAAGCCCAGGAGTTGGAGATTGCTGTGAGGCCACAGCACTCTACCCAGGGCAATGAAATGAGACTCTGTCTCTTAAAAAAAAGAAATTTGCTGAGAATGTGGCTGAACAACAGAAGACTAGAGG